TATGTCATGGTCACACAAGGACTATGTCATGGTCACATAAGGACTATATATGTCACGGTCACACCAGGACTATGTTACGGTCTGACAAGGAATATGCCATGGTCACATAGGGCCTATCATATCTAATAAATATGTCCGTCGCAAATGTCTACATTATTTGTCCCAGTTGTAATATTAGGATGGACATACGATAATTACTCTACACCTAGGAATATGCAAATATGCTGTTTAATAGTTACTAAATGCCGAGATTATTCTGATTTTGAAAAAACACACTATTTTTATAGCTTTCGTAACGAGTTTCATACTATAGCACAAACATGCATTGTTCTTCACTGCCTTGATGATATAATTGTATTAGCTGTATAGTAATACAGTAATCATTACATATGGCATGTAATGGTATTAACAATAGGCCTAAACTCTATTAGTAGAACAGCACAGTACTCATTGTCATAAGACGTATTAGTTTCAGCAGTGCATAACGTAATTGTATTAGTAGAAAAATACAGTATTCATTACATATAGAAGATGATCGTATCAGTAGTACTCACATGATATAATTGTGTTAACATTACAGTGCTGAATTCAATATGACACCAACATCTAACTTGATAAAGTCTGGCGTTCGTCATTATATACAAAGCACACACGATTCCATATATGTATCTTATTTTATTTACATACAAATGTAACATGTCAACTCTGGCTAGGCCGTGGTTAGACATATATAAATTTTATTACACTCCGTTTCTATCATTCAAAGTGGTATTTTGATACATGAAAGTGAAATAATAGTTGTCATGGGAATCCGTTTCACATCATTCTCCATCCTCCCTACACGCTTCTTTGCAGTACACACTTTCACGAGATAATCGAAACACATTTTCCAATCCCATTGTCTACAATGTAAATCAGATTTGTCACACGAACATCACATTTACTATACTAAGTGTACACTCATGTATACATGTATTTGTAATTCATTTAAATATATTTGTATCTGTAACCTTGTATTCCGATTCATTGCTATGTGTTATATTATACACTAGATTTACTGCTTGTTGTGTGTAATCTCTCAATACCAAGAACTGAAAGAAGGTCGTGGAACTGCTGACTACCATCGCCAGGTAAATACAGCACTAGTTTTCAACTCATTCAAGTTTCTTTTTAGATAACGTAAAACGCATCCTCAGCAATTGTACAATTAGATTAACAAAAACAAAATGATTTCCAGTTTTCATACGATGAAATTGAATCTTTAAATATATAAAAAAATAGTATTGCCTGAGCGACGATCGAACAACTTGTTAAACAAATATGTTTCAAAAACGGAAGGAACCACACAATATTTTCATTGATACCAATCATGTCCACAAAACCACCACCACAATAAAATAATAACAAAATGACCGGTTTAAACTATGATTGATATGAAGTGTGTGGCGATTACAACACAAAATACAACTAAATGTATCTAGATTAATTGGACTTATTTCATTTGTAATATTATTTTACTTCAAATCGCACCATTTACATGTAATATTATTGTAAAACAATGCACTCCTCTAATAATTATTCTTGGCTTTGATAACATAAAGTATTATTCTTTGTATACAGCTTGCTGCGTCCCGGGGACGTCCAGTTGTTGTCACTACAACCACGACCCCAGCCAGGGTAGAAAAGGCTTAAATATGCCGTCTTCAATCAACAACAATGTTGGATTATGTTTTCAGTTCACGATTATACACCGTTCTATTAAGTCACGCCCTCAGTCGGCGAATGAACTCTGTGACGTAAATAAGTACGTCGTTCACATTATCCATTATGATCTGCAATCCTTATAAGTATACTGTTTTTTAGAGACTTGCATTATTCTCAAAAATGAACAATTACACAATGAAACGGAGTATTTTTACAACAACATTGCTTACATCCATTTACGAAGTTCCTACGTCACAGAATCACTCTCTCGCTAGAGGGCGCGCCACATAGGGAACGTGTACTCATAACACTTAGCTGGAACACAAATTTACTTTTATTCTCTAATTATTCCCAGTCAAAGCATGTAATTTTGTTTATTTCAAACGTTATAGGATTACATGTGTTTTTTTTATCAACAATAGAATTAATTCATATACGATTGTGCAGAAACGATAAAAGTATTGTGCCTTAATTGGTTTTATTGATCAACACCTGCTAACCTTATAAAAGGTTAACGTCTGTTACATTCAGTTTATATCTCAAGAACCACGTTAGGGTAATTACGGGATTATATTAGTCGTAGACGTAAATATATACATACTATAATATAAGGGTAAGTAGGTGTATGTGTAGTTTATGCATTGAATTTAGTGTAAGGAAACATTAAACCAGAACAATATTCGTGCTATTTCTGCAAGAATATTTGCATATTAATCAGCCATATCACATGTTGCGTTAGTCATTCCGTTCGTTGTCAATTGAAAGTTGGTGCAGTGGTCAATAATATATATCAGTGGATTGCATTATTTATATATTTCATTTAGTCGACATATTTTCACATATTCTATTTAGTAACATTTAATTCAGTTCTTTTATTTCAATTCTTTTTTATAATACTTTATTTCATATGTTTTTATATACATTTCATTTAGTTTACATATTTCATTTAGTTCATATATTTCATTTGGTACGTATATTTCATTTAGTTTAAATAATATATTCCATTTGATCACATATTTCATTTAGTTCATATATTTCCTTTTAGTTAATATATTTCATTTAGTTTACATATTTCAATTGTTTCACATAATTCATTTAGTTCATATATTTCATTCAGTTCATATATTACAATTGTTTCACATATTTAATTTAGTTCATAGATTTCATTAGGTCATATATTTCATTTAATTCACATATTCCAATTGTTTTGCATATTTCATTTAGTTCATATATTTCATTTAGTTCACATATCTCCATTGTTTCATATATTTTATTTAGTTCATATATTTCATTTAGTTCATATATTACAATTGTTTCACATATTTCATTTAGTTCACAGATTTCATTAGGTCATATATTTCATTTAAGTCACATATTTCAATTGTGTTGCATATTTCATTTAGTTCACATATTTTATTAATTCATATATTTCATTTAGTTTACATATTTCAATTGTTTCACATAATTCATTTAGTTCATATACTTCATTCAGTTCATATATTCCAATTGTTTCACATAATTCATTTAGTTCATATACTTTATTCAGTTCACATATTTCATTTAGTTCATATACTTCATTTAGTTCACATATTTCATTTAGTTAATATATTTCATTTAGTTTACATATTCCAATTGTATCACATAATTCATTCAGTTCATATATTTCATTTAGTTAATATATTTCAATTGTTTCACATATTTCATTTAGTTCATAGATTTCATTAGGTCATATATTTCATTTAGTTCATATATTCCAATTGTTTCACATATTTAATTTAGGTCATATATTTCATTTAGTTCACATACTTCATTTGGTCACATATTTCATTTAGTTAATATAGTTCATTTAGTTCATGAATTTCATTTAGTTCACATATATTCCCTTGGTTTGAATATTTTATTTAAATAACAATTCACCAAAGAGGCTTGAACCAGTGAGGCTTGAACAAATTACATACATGTTTTAATTTGAAAGTTTTTATTCTATTTTGTGAACCTTTAATATTATTTGCCCGTTAGACACATTGCTATTTTTCTACGTAGTAGTCCCGGCGTTGCAGTCTCTACGTAGTAGTCCCGACATTGCAGTCCCACCGTAGTAGTCCCAGCGCTGCAGTCTGACCGTAGTAGTCCCAGCGTTGCAATCCCACTGTAGTACTACCGCAGTGGCGGATCCAGCAAAATGTATTGGGGGGGGGGGGGTCCAAGCTACGCTTAAGATATACGGAGCGTAAATCGCAGAGAAGCTATGCGTAATCCAGATGATACGAACCGTCATGCGTTTTGGGGGGGGGCATGTCCCCTGGCCCCCCCTCTGGATCCGCCACTGTACTACCGGCATTGCAGTCACACCGTAGTAGTCCCATCGCCGTGGTCCCTCCGAACTAGTTACGGCGTTGCAGTCGCACCGTAGTCGTCCAGGCGTTGCAGTCCCACCTTAGTAGTCCCTGTGTTGCAGTCCAACTGTTGTAGTCCCAGCGCTGTGGTCCCGCCGTAGTAGCCCCGGCATTGCAGTCACACCGTAGTAGTCCTGAAGTTGCAGTCCCACCGCTGTGGTCCCGCCGAACTAGTCCCGGCATTGCAGTCCAATCGTAGTAATACCGGCGTTGCAGTCCCACTGTAGTAGTCCTGGCGTTGCAGTCCCATCGCTGTGGTCCCACCGTTGCAGTCCCATCGCTGTGGTCCCACTGTTGCAGTCCCATCGCTGTGGTCCCACCGTTGTAGTGCACCAATCATTATTCGGTGTTCATTTGCAGCATACAGTCGTCATATAGCTGCTGCCTTTTAATCTTTATCACTTTTTAATATGAACACTGAGGCAAATTATATGACTGTTGAGATTAAAGCACATGTTCAATAACAGTTCCATATTTTCGTATACAGTTTTTAAGAATCTATTTATTTAAATATCTCACAAATTTAGAACAAAATATAATGCTAATTAGTTCATGTTAAAAACATATTTGCTGTATGTTTCATTAATTATTCAAAATACATGGCATTATGCAAATGAGTTTACCAAAAAGTTACATTTCTCAATTTTGACGACCAGCATTATGTATTTCATGTGACATGAATATCATGTTATATAAAAAAATTTACGCAGTCAATATCTGCAATGTCGAGTTCAGTCACAAGCTGATAAAGAAATATATGCCATCGAAATACTATTCTTCAAGTCCCATTGCATAAGAGGATGCTCATAAAATAATCAGACACGTAATTTTAATTTCTAATAACACATCTAGTTGTTATTTGTTTGTTACTATTTGCAATACATTCTCCGCACGTTTTGGACAATTAGACTAATGGTGTCACACGTATTTCATTTTGCAGATGAATTTATCATCAACGTTTCAATATATTTGCTCGAGGCACTATATTTTACTGTCCAGCTGCTTAGTACGATAACATTTGTTTTATATTAGAGTGAACAGATATATTATTTTTGCCTGCAGATATATGCAACCAGATAGCGTTTATCGCGTGTGACTGCACGCATGGCCGCCGTGTGTGAAACACTTGTCTAATCGACCATTTTAAAACAGCATATTATATGATTGCTATATATTCCCACAGTGTAGTGACGTCACGACTCAGTTTGACATGCGTCACGTGATTTATTCACGAATTGACTCTTGGAACTCGGGAACGCTTTAAGTGTTTAATTCGCTGGATTTAGTACAGTCTGTAATTACGTAATGACTACACAGCATCTTTGTAACAACGAGACATACATATTTCATTTAATAACAGTGGTTTTAATAATATAGCAAAATAAACATTAATATTTTACGTGAACATTTGTGTAATTTTTGAGACATTTTAGTTATACGCCTGAAATAAATGCAAACTGTACATGGAATTAGTGTTAAGTAGCATGCAATGCAATACAGCCAAGTTTTAATTGTTTTAAGTAGTTTAAGAATTCTAGTATATTCGTATTTTCACATGCAATGTTATAGTTGACACCATTGTAGCCCCGTACAAACATAAATCTAAAAGCTGCCTACCCTTTGTAACAGCAATTGTCAACAGCTGCTTGCGAGAAGGCAATAATGTTTGGTTCATAATTATCAAATACACAATTGTGCCAGATAAATATAAATTAATCTGTGACTACCTCACGGACGTCGATGAGGAACACACTTTATTGTTTCCATCAAACTGGTAAAAAGTGTTTCTTTTCCCATCAATTTGGTTAATGTCGCATAAAATGTTTGTGAAGGCATTGTTAGTACTCAGTCTGTAACGCCAACGTGTCATGAGATGATTGATTGATGAGAGTCTGGTTATTCAGAAATGTAAAACCATCCCATGATGCATTATGCTATGATATTATTATGATACATTAAATAAGGAAATATATACTACTATTAAGTGTTTTCATACCTTGCATATTTTCCATTCAAGTTAACTTGTTTTTATTCGTTGGAAAGCCAGTTGTCATTAGGTAATTATATTAATTTAATAAACATTGGTAGTAAAAAAACAACGTGTGACGAGTGGTAATTACGATCAACACCGTGACTTTGCTTCGCACTGACCTTGAAGACAAATCAACATATTTACATTCGACTTTCACAATATTGAGACCAATAACCTGAAATGATATGTCAGTGGTTCTGTGTTTAATCTGAAGTGACTACTTAATTACTAGTCTGTAATGGAGAACAGGGAACCGGTACCATCTGCTAGAACCCGAAGGCTCTCGCTATTATACTACAGATAACTTGATGCCAGTGCACGGCGGCATTGCAATGTAGATGCTCACGAGTCAGCATTAAATTAAAGCAATCATAGGAAGTTGTTGCGATGACACTGAGCTCAATAGAACAGTGGTTTACTTGTTGACTAAATAGATAATGGTGTTCTATTACACTTTGTGAGTTGAACACAATCTGGTACACAATCAACCTCCGACCGCCATGGTCAATTCTCAATGTAAAACACTCAATATCCACAGGCTTGATAACGCATAACTCGTACAGTCTGTCCCATTTTTCAATCAAGACTTTCTCCAGCACTGAATTCATTTAAGTTCAGGTGTACCTTGTAATTACGTTTGTCATTGCACACGCGAATGGATATCTTTCAATTAAAAATTGTCTCAGGAACTTCTCAACGAATCTCTCAGTTCCGAACGCCGTAATGAACCTGATTCCGATGTCAATGACTATCATGTGCCCTTATCGCCTACATGGCAGGATGGTGGGTTGTGTTAGGAAAGAACGGATATCGTGTAGTTTTGATATTTGTATGCATATACAGCGAGTAGATTTTCTTCAGAGACTGTGAAAATGCGAGGGAGATATTAATCGACTTCAAGACAAGTGAAGTTATGTTTGCTGCTCTGTGCATTGTGTTTAGCCATTTTAAAATTGTGTTTGCTGTCTTTGTAGTCATTTTCCCGTGACGCAATGCTTAATACGGCGAAAACATTCAAACTCAGACAACCAAAGTTTCAGGCGTTCGTATTCCGTATGATGTGAATTGAACGCACAAGTGACATCATTTGACGTGACGTATTCTGAATTGACATCACACGTGACTTCATTTGACATGACGTAATCGATATAATTTGAATTGACATCACACGACTTCTTTTGACGTGATGTAATCGATATACTGTGAAATGAAAGAACATGTGGCACCATTGACGTGACGTATTCAAAATATATTGACAATTACCAGCACACATGACATCATTTGGTGTGATGTTT